CTACTCCTCCTACGTTCGGTCGTTCGTCGTACGTACGTCTAACCGGTAATAATAATAAATAATAATATATAATACAACACACACACACACACTACACACACACACACACACACACACACACATATATATATATATATATATATATATATATATATATATATATATATATATACATATACTGTACAACTAATAGTTCAATATGTTACTCTAAGAAATAGTAGTGAAGCACATAAACGCAACATTATTGCGGCGCTGCCCAAGTTCCAAAACCTAATAACCCAATAATACCATAAACCTCAAAACTTTATACCCGAAAACCTATAAACCATAAAACCTATCTAAACTCAAAACTCAAAATCTAATAATGCCCAAGACTTTACATTGAAACTGTATATCCGACGAGTGACCCTTTGCCCTCGTGCAGTAGTAGTGTGTTGGTACAGTACGTTGGTTGGTAAATGATAATAATAGTTTCTCGGTTATTGAAGTCGCTTAATATTAAAGGGTAGCCTAAACAGTAAAACCCTATCTAAATCCGTTTAGCCCTAAAGCTTAAAAACCCTGAACACCTTTGTTTTTAGCTGCAGTTGCGTCATAGGTAAGAACTAGCCATAATGTTTGTGAGCAGAATATGTCCTCTTTTTTTGCGACACTGAGTATATCAGTTCTCCTCGGATTGAAGTCACTCATGGCAAAGCTCGTCCGACCGCGTCTTTTCAAACTCTAATACCGCGTTCCATTCTGTGTTTGTCTTATAGCGTCTATTTCGCGCTATTCTAAATCCGTTTATCCTACGCCTGTGGTAAAGTGTTCATTACATTTGTCTTAAAGAGTCTATTCTACGCTGTTATGAACGTGTTTATTTCACTAGATGGTACGTAAGTGGACAATGATGAAGTCCGCACATATAGTCACACTAGGTATGAACACCAAACAACTGTTCTACCGGTAAATAATATATCTACTAAAGTTTGTAATTACCAAACTATATACCTACTTAAATGTGTCTACTGAACGGATTGCCCACATAACTGTATACGCACAACTATATATCTGCTAAACCGTATGTCTACTTAATTGCAAAACTAAAAACTGTATATCTACGACACTTTGTATTAAAACTATATGGCTATAAAACTATATATGTACTAAACTATATATCTACTAAACTATAAATATCGGTCTAAAGCAACAATACAAATACATGATAAACTATATATCCACTAAACAATATGTCTACTAAACTATATAAGTACTGAATAGACATTCATAAGGAAAAGGCTTCGCTGAAGTAATATGTTGAAAAGTTTGTTTTACTACAAAATATGATACAGTGATTTTTCCTGAGCCAAAATGGCTGAAATGGAATCCGTACATAGAGAATATTTCTTCGAGGAATAATTAAGAGTTAGGGACATTGATTGTAAGAGTTTTCAGTGCAAACATAAAATGTATTTTAGTGGTACATATATTTTTATGATCCTTGTTGTTTATGTAAACAAATTTTCCATATGTAAAAAATGTTAGAGTGCAATGTCGGGGACTATAAGTAAAGTGCAAATGTATCTACAGCATGGTGCGTTCGAAATGAATTTATTTAGGATCTCACTCTCAGTTATATATTGATGGATGTTTGTACTTCTAGTGTTCAACCACCTGGGTTGGCAAGGGTAAAAACTCATGATCAGTATAAGAAACCTTGTGTAGAACACTTGAGTACTCTGATATAGACTAAACATTTACTGAACATTATATCCACTAAGTTATATCTCAACTATGCATCTACTAAACTATATATCCAATTATCCTTTTGATATTGATATGCCCAAATATCTGTGCACGCGTCAAACGCAGTAAATTTGCACCACACATCAGTTATAAGCCGACACCATACTCGTACGCCGTTTCCATTCGCATTAGCCAGTCACCAATTTTCAGAGAACTATCCAAAGTAAGCTCTATGCCCACATCTTTGAGCAATGTCAAATAAAGAAATATACAGTACATGCTTCGCAGGACCCAATCTACAGATCCATCGGCACCTACTCGGAATTTTACACTTATCTCGATGCGGATGCCACCAGCCACAATTCGGCCAGAATCTGCCAGATTGCATTTCCATACACAGTCATATGGATTCTACCCATACGGGCCTTTGCAGGTATTTTCGTATGGAATCTTGAGTGCTTACATTTGGATATCGACTCCTTCGCAACGTGCGGAGAGAAAGGGTATGCCAGCACCTTCTTGATCTTCATAGTTTCATTTTTCAAGGCCCGGCTGGTGCATTTTTGGCGGTAAAGTACTGTTTTGCCCGACTTTGATTACCCTTGTTGAACTTTATGGGACGCACTACCAAAGTGTGTATTTCAGAGTGTTGCGGAGTTCATAACTTCTGCCACGTATTGTACACATAAAATTCTGGCCAAGGTGATCTTTTGCGACCTTCGATAGCTGACACCAAAAGCAATCGCAATTTTAGATTGTGGTTGTAAATTCCAATTGCGAAACTGAAATGTGCCCGAATCGATCTGGTTCAAAGTAGGCATTTGAACACCCTCTTTCTGTCCATAGGTGTAATACGTCACCCACTCTACTTCAGCAAATTGCAGGGCTGTACACAGTTCTTCTCCGGTGATTGGCTTTTTATTTTGATCAAAGACAGATTTTGAATTAGAACTGTGTATGAACGGAATATTGGTCAATCCGCACAGACTATCGATCAAGCCGTGGCATGTTTGTGGATCAAGTTCACTGCAAACAATGTACTCTGCTTTGCTAACAGTTCCAATTATGGTACCATCAGCTCCCGAGTGAAACTTTTTTCTGGCCGCAGCGGATATATTCGGTGATATAGAGATAAAAGGAATATTAGCTATATTTTGAACTGATATGACTGTTGAGAGTTCGTCACAATCCATTGGAATGCAGCACATATCCTTCGTGCTGAAATACAAGTCGAACGGTGACTTAAAACATTTCTCAAACCCATTTGAAGATTGTAATCGACGAGCCGTTGGTTTGGGCGTTTCCAGTTTGTCAGAGAGTGATACACCCCAAAGTGGTCCTTCGTTCATGGTCTCGAAATATGCCAGTTTGGTGTCAGCTTGTCGTTCTGGCGAATAATAACTTGCCAAAATTGGCGAGTCACTATCTTCAGAGTCCCACTCTGAAGCCATACTGGCCTTTGAAGAATCCTCTTTGGTCTCGGAGTTTTTTTCCGGGTTGTTTTAGAATTGTCATACTTCCTTCCCCTACTTCGATTTGGTGTTGAATCTTGATATATTTTAAACATCCCCCTAATGCGGCAGTGACTTTAGCTTATGTTCAGCCAACAACTAATAAGAAATATAAATGTACATGTAAACATATTATTTAAGGTTTAGATAATTTAGTTAGGGGTCGTAGGTCCAAGGGACCGTAGATCGCCCACGGTTGAATTTTACAGCTATAGAAAGCCTTTATTATAGCTTCCTGGGGTCGGAGACGCGCAAAGGACGCGCTACCCCTAACTAATCTTTTAAAGCGTGTGGCGCGAGCTGAAATCTCTCGCGGCATAGGTTTAGAATTTAGTTAGCGCTATCGCACGCCTTACATCCCCCGGGATCGTAGGTCCTCTTACCCTATGGGGACCGTAGGTGTGTAAACTTTATTAACCGTTTAGCCAAAAGTAAATGTGTTACAAGTGCAAGAATTCTGACAGCATCGATGAGAATTCAGAATTGAAAATTACCAAATTCATTTTCAAACTTTATTGTTTTTTTTTATACATTACTTTGAGTGCATTCTATATAAATATGAACATTGGTGTTTTTGATTTTTG